TTTAATGAATGAATGATATAGTGATGATTACGCGTGTGGAGATGGTCAGGACCTCATTAAGGCAAAGTTGAGTCCTGGTCGAAGTATAATTTTGGAGCGTCATTTATTACCTTAAAATATACCTTACAATTTGAAACTAATAAGAAATGAATTTATATTAACTAAACTGAAATTGTATTAAATGATCAAAACATAATCTAAAGTTACATTTATGTGTTATTTTTTATGTAATAGGCCCTCCTAAACATCTAATGCATTAAAATAAGAAAGGATGAAATGACAAACGTACTAACCCCAAAACAAAATTATGTACATTCTGTGTGTCTACTGTCATGGCGTGTGGATCGAAATTAAAAGTTAAACTAGCCATTAAAGACTGTAGAAATTCCTCAAATACATTTTTAAAATATATCCAATGCTGGAGACAGGAATGGATTTGACTTTGTTTCCTTCAAAATCATTACTGATGCCGGTAAATTTATCAGCACTAATGTTTCATTTTTAATTGATGTTAATATCACAGTGACATAACAGTCAGCAAGTATATTCTTGAGTTAGTTTACAAATATTTTGGCAACGTGTTCATGGAAACCGAATCTAACATGTTGGTGGCCCTGGACAGACGGCCATTTTGAAAATCTGGACGAAGTTATCCTGGTGAAAATGTAAAGCTTTCACGAAACTTCGAAGATATTTAACATGTACATAATATATATTAGTTGAAATTATATAAATTAATGTATCAATAAATTGCATATATTATTAATTTACAATTTCCTCAGCGTCACCACAGATTTGGAAACGTTTGAAGGTCACTAAGTTAGCGTCATAATTACGTCCCACGATTTCTTTTGTCATGTTTTCTCCGTTGTGAGTTACTTAAATACCCCTTTTCAGTATAGAGACTACAGAACATCGGCTCGTGGGATGAGAGATGGAAGATAAACTGGAAATAACTTGGAAAGAAACGGTCATATCCTAATCGAGACGAAATTCAAGCAACACGAACTGAAGAAAACCACGAGAGAGTTCAATTAGGATAGCCGGTGTCCTGTCCGAGATTCGAACAAAGCATATTTAGAGCGCTAGAGCTACTCCACAGTGTCCGCTTTTTGTTATGTTAATATCTAGCCATGTTATTTCTAATTCTTCATGTTAAACCATAACATTTTTTTTGTGTATGTTTCTATATGAAAGAGTAATTTAATAAGAGGCAAAGTAAAGCAAAGGTGTTCCTATGCTCAATTAATTAATAATCTCACTATGAAGGTATATGGGGGAGTGGAGGTATAGCTCCACCATTATTGATTTCGACATTAGATGGAGGGGAGTGGTCAGCTTCACGTCACTGCCGTTTAGCCCCAGGAAAACACTACCTAACACCCAACAGATAGGCCCGTCTGGTCACAATAAAGAAGAGAAAAATTTTTCGCCTCTACCGGGAATCGAAACCCGGCCGCCCAGCCCGTAGCTCATCGCTATACCTATTGACCTGTCCCTGCTCCATTTAATGAGGTGTGGAAGGAAAATAAAATTTCTTAAGAAGTCCCGTGTTGTTACGAAACCAAATTCGTCACCGTCATCACAAAAGTTAAAACATTGGACCTTATCCTGTAACACTTCAGTCCAGTTTTTCGGGAATATAATATCGTGGCATTTTTAGATGCAGTGTAGTGTCAGGTGTAGAATGATGTGTTCTGACGTCATAGCCCAAAGACTTGTTATTGCTGAGGATAATATATTACCATATGATTTCTAAATTCGCTCCAGAATGTGTCGCTTATGTAACTGTGTATCCCTCGAAACGAAAACAGAAGCAGTAGCAGGTTTCCCCGCAAATGAAAGACTTGGGCCCTTCCCTCAGGAGTCGTTGCCAAAGCAGAACGGTTTCGGGACTGCCACATAACTTGTCACCCGCCCAACAGAGCCCTTACGTTGCGCTTCCTGAATTTCTCAAGTTGAAATTCCGTGTTATTTTGAAGAAAGCGCAGATTTCTTCTTTACTTTTATTGTCATCATTTTTGATTTATTGAATGGAGCTTCCAGTTACTAAGATTAGATAGCGTTGAATCATAAACTTTTTACTTTACTTAATCCGTTCCTCTTATAACCTTACGGTGTCGAGTTGTAGGTAGGACTCCTTGGACGAGTGATCAGCTCGTCGCAAGGCCACTACCTAAACACAGTACAAAACAAACACAGAATAAATACACATCCCAAACATCCATGCCTTGTGTGGGATTCGAACCCACGATCCCGGCTTCCGAGCGAGCGAAGATGGTACATTTCCTCAAGGTTACGTCCTTACCGCAGTATTGTAAAGTGCATATATAAAAGATGCCTCCGCGGCACCTGGACCACATGTTGCTCTGTTCGCGGACTGTACCTGTATTACGCGGCAGAGGAACACCAAAGCCTTCTCCTCTGCAAACTGCAACGCGGACTCACTGCAGTGAATTCGTGGTGTGAACACTGGAACATAAAGATCAATGAAAGGAACACTCAGGCAGTCTATTTCTCCAGAAGACTTACAGTCCGTGACAAAATACTACACCTAAACGGACGGGATATTCCCTTTGTAAATAATGTAACGCATCTTGGTGTCACTTTCGACAGGAGCATGACATGGAGACACTATATCGAAAGGACTGTAGCCAAGGCCTTGCGCATGTGCGTGAGGACCTATTCTCTATTGAAAAGTGAACGTTTAAATACAAGTATTAAGCTTACACTTTACAAAACTCTGATTACGTCAGTTATTAATTATGCCCGTCCCACCTGGGAGAATGCGGCGGCCGCTCGCCTCTTTGAAACGGCAGCGCCTGCAGAACAGACTACTCCGCGCTACTGGGAATCTTGACAAGTGCACACCGGCCCACGAATTGCACATGGCCTTCGAAATTCCTTTCTTGTATGACTATATAACTAAATTATGCAGGACACAGGAAGGAGTCCTGAACCGTGGATCCATAAGATAACTAATTCTAATTGGAATAAAGAAAAATTGCGAGATCAATGGAAGGACTCTATTATTGTACCAGTGCGCAAGAAGGGCGATGAAACTGACTGCAGTAATTATCGTGGGATATCACTGCTATCAACTTCATACAAGTTTTATCCAATAGCCTTCTCTCAATCTTATGTCCAAAAATATATGAAATTATTGGGGATCATCAGTGTGGGTTTCAACGTAACAGATCAAATCTTTTGCATTCATCAGTTACTGGAGAAAAAATGGGAATACAATGAGACAGTACATCAGCTATTCGCAGACTCCAGAGAAACCTATGATTCAGTTAGGAGGGAAGTATCATACAATACACGTTCTGGACACCCATGAAACTAGTTAGGTCGATAAAAATGTGTTTAAAAGAATTAACAAGTCAAGGAGGATGAAATGGGCATACCATGTAGCACGAATGGGAAAGAAGAGAAATGCATATAGGTCACTGATGGGAAATCCAGAAGGAAAGAGACCACTAGGAAGACCCAGACGTAGGTTGGTAAACAATATTAAAATAGATCTTAGAGGGATAGGATGGGGTGGTATGGACTGGATTGATCTGGCTTAGGATAGGGACCAGTGTAGGGTTCTTGTGAACACGATGGTGAACATTCGGGTTCCATAAAATAATGGGAAATTCTTGAGTAGCTACATAATTGGCGGCTTGTCAAGAAGGGCTCATTTCAAGGAAGTTAGTTATTGAGAAGAAAACTGTTGTTGAACTGTTTTTTTTTTGTAGGAAATATCAAATCATCTAAAATCAGCTGGTGCAGGAGCCAACATTATATGATAAATTCTTGCCACAACATTCGTGTTCATAATTTGTAGCTCAGTGAAATACACTGAACAATCGAACCTAGTTTCAAATGAGAGCCTTGCTGCATATACGAGTATGTACATTGTTGTCCCAAGAAGAACCGAGTGTTACCCCTCCCGCGTGCTCTTCAAAATTCTTGATGATTCAGTAGTGCTAACTCGTGCAACCGTCCACCAAGACATCCATTGTACTGCTCCGAAGAGAACTGAAGATCGCGTCGCCGAGAATGAAGGTTTTCCGTGACGTCTATTTCTGGCGCACAAACATGGCCGACGCCTGTGTAGAAATCTGATCTACCACATTTTTACTTCCGTCTCCCTCTCTCCTACTAACCCATGTTATCTCACTTCTGGCTTTTACTCTCAAAGTTCGTCCGTTATAACAGTCCTTATATGAACCTTCGTGATCAAATCCTCACTCCTCCAGTAGAGGTCGTCGCCAGACCCTGTCGGTCGCTCAACGTCGTGGGGGCTTCTGGGAATAGCTACCGCCTACTTACTGCGTATTCTTGCACTTACTTTTGTGCCAGAATAAATTTTGTTTGCTGGGTCTTGGGTCGTTTCCATTCCAGCATCTTTCTCCTGATTACTTGACAGACATAAATGTCTATGATCTAACTTCTTTATATAATTTTCAAATGGTTGTCTGTCTCTGCAAGATTTGTTACCTTTTGTGAACTTTACACACATCAGTTTAATATATTTCTCTGATCTTGCACGTCAGCCATTGTTTTTATTTTCTTCCTCGAAGCATTAAAGAAATATTAAGTTCTGAATGATTCTATTGGGTACTTGTTTTTAGGTTTTATGACATTCGACACAATTTCTTACTGTTTATATTTAATTTTCTTCTCCAGAATTCCACTATAGGTTTTCTGCAATCATCGCGGTATTTGAAAATTCACTAAGCATTCTCGTGTATTCATCATAATCAAAATTACGTTTAAATTCAATGTTTCAGTAATTTCCTCGATCACCCTCTTTAATATCCATATGGCCATATCGGCGCTGCTGATGGAGACAGAACATGTCTTCGAAATATTGAATTTTAACTGAATTTGAATGAGGCATATCGTCAGAGAAAATTTTAGTTCATTTATTTGGCGTGAAACTTTTGGGAGGTTACAGAAACAGGAATAATGTAAAACAAAACAAAGATTGACAAATAATAACAAGAAGATTTCAAAATGAGACATGTTTTTTTATTTCTTCTCTCTTTCCACAAGTAAAAAACAATAACGATATCACATAAACCTTATTTCTAGACATCAACAGACAAGCAATATACTGGCTAGTTCTTATCCACACAGATTTATATAGTTTTTGAAAGAATCAACAAAATGCCGAGAAGCTCTGAATATATTATTAGATTTAAATACAATATATGTTGAAAATGAGAATGTTATGCATCAGAATTCTATCCGCAGTGAAATAGGGCTGATCTTCAACCTCAAGACTTTGAATCAAATGGATGAAATTTAATACTTGTGAGGATGAAGAATATACTGTAATATGTTACACGAATATTTCTTGTTCTATACTTTTAAAATACAATTTTATTTATTTGTTTATTTATTATATACAAACTTCAATCAGAACATGGGAGGTGTAGGATTCGTTAGTATACAGGTTACAATAGTTCTGTAGAGGAGACGATATGCTCACTTGCCGAGCAGGATTTTGCGCCCGGCACCAAGGTTTTGTCCAGCCTGTGTGGCGCCCTTGTTCTGGCCGGCCTGCAGGCCAATGATAGTTTCTCCTGCTCTCAGTTGTTCCTCGGTAAAGTCGCGCTTACACTCCTCTGCGGGCCTGGGTCCCAGGTATGGTCCTGGCCACTCAGGGTGCCGGTATGTCTGCACAAAGAACGCCAATATAAATTCGTACTCTTTGTGTATAAGAGCTGCGTTCGGAAACAAAATTACCTTCGCTTGTTGCTGGAAAAGTTCCTCAGCCACAAGTTCACAATTCTGTCACACAATATCTTCATGTTTTTATTGCTTACAGTGAAAATTTCGAATCGTCCGAACCATCAGTTACAATGTGAATATCATCAGAAAATGCTGCATTTATGGCACTGCTACTTGCTATGAAATTTATAATTAATATATCATGGTAAAGCTGTGTCTGTAACAGGCCGTGAAGGCCCACAGGATTGTGAGACGTCGAGGCTCTCACATTTTCTTTAGACAATCGGCTCATAGATGGCTGTAAGGTTGTCAGCCTTCGCCCTTTACCCCCCCCCCCTCAAGTAAGATTCCTGGTACTCATTTCTGTTAGTGGCTGAGTCGACCCCAGGACCATAGTTCGGTTGGAAAGATTAGGTAAATTGAAAAAAAAATCCACCTCATCGGGACTCGAACTCGCGACCTTCCGATTTGTATCATAGTGCATCAACCAACTTCTCGACTATAAGTCTACCCGTAATATAATTCGACCCCCTATTTTTCCTATGAAAAAAAATCAGATTTTTAAATTTAATATATCATTTACTTTTGAGAACTGTAAGCAAAAATAAGTAAAAATGTTACTATTAATAAATAATAAATTAAGAATTTAATGCCTTCAATACAGTTTTAGGTATTTTCACAAATATAATTATAATTAACAATTAGAATTCCTTATTATCATCCTCTTCGTATTTATTCTTAAGTGTCGAAAAATATCGCGACTTTTATTTTCTAAGAAGCAATATTTGAAAACAGGGTAACACGGTAAAAAGACAATTAGCTAAAAACGACTGCAGGGTTCCCACACCTATCTTGTTCACGCCTATTGGCTCCATCTCATTTAGCGTCTCAAGGAAGAATGTTTCGGTTCCCGGAAGCTGTATTAATGAAGAACGAATTGTGGACTTTAGCAGTAGAAAAAACGTACCGTTGAAGGAAGGTCCTAAAATGTTTCCAATTTTGGCTGCACAGATGGCAGTTACGTATCAAGGGAAGAGGCCTCTACGTTCATAACTGAATAAGGGTTATGTCCTTTGTTTCCTTTACAGTAAAATGGAATATATTTTTAGATTCACATTGTAGGATGAGGCACTGTGTTTATGTATCTCCGAATAATAACATCAAAAACAATTCATATTTACATAATCTATATAAGCAATTCATGACAATGGTAGCCAAAGAGGTGAGCTCGAAATTTTCGGGGCTGAAAAAAATATCACGAAATAATACAATACAGACGCTCTGAAATGTGGATGATAACAGTTGCTTCAAAGGAATAAGTGTGTGGAGATTCTTATGAAGTTTGAAATAACTGGACGGTCACCACTTGAAAGTATTATTGTTGGCGTTATGCAAGGAATATAAGACGTGCTGTGGCTGAGTTGTAATCGTGTCTCGAGAAAAACTCTGAAACTATGTTCTCATTTACGCGGAAACCTGAGTTACTCGTTCGCATCCTTGCAATTATTCTGTTCGTCTTCTTGAAGAAATCCTGAATTTGGGATAATGTAACATCTGTTCCTTTTGCGCTTCTCCTAGAGCGATACTTCCCAAGTAAAGTTACAGTACGTCCGCGATATCATGATCCCTCGTATCAGTGCGCTGCCCGCCTCGAAACAGCACAGGCCGATAATTATATGTATGTTTAGGCCAGGCGCTTTGCCAGTTGCATGCTATATTTGCGAACACTTCTGTTGTGCCACAGTGTTCCTGGCTGCACTTATACGCTTCGATATTTGGAAGTGAAGAGATCTGACGATTGTTTTCGCTTCTACCACCCGAGTTTGTGTATCTACGTCACACGCAGGCGGGGCAGATATCATTAAATACCTGATGAACTGTAGTTTCCCCACTTTTTTGAACCCATAATAGTGCCCGACTTGCCTATTGGTCCACTATTTTTGCAAGGAAGCCGTTCCAACTTGTAACGGTTACGTCATCAGGAAGATGAAAAATTCGTCAACACAGCTGTTCCTATTTCACGCTTTGGGTGAACACTGCGTCCTGTAATTTGGGTCAACAAAATAGATCCAGCATTTCTGAACCGACGGGGCCCATCAACTGATGGGACTCGACAGCAGGGTGGGTTGTGTCGTCTCGGTAATAATAACGATAATAAATTCGATCGCACAATCCGGTTACAAAAAAATAGTCCCTGCACGTTAAGCACTAGCTTCTTATTATTTCTGATAACGACTATAATCGTCTACACAACTATCATAATAATAACTATTTTAAAAATGTTACACCCTTCAAGTTCGTAGAAACTTCCATTAACAACTAATATAATATTAAAACGCACAGTCGGTTTAGCGACTGGCTATGTGCTGCACGACCGAGGGGTCGGAGTTCGAGTCCCGGTAGGGTCAGGAATTTTCTCCACGTCGTCAAGACCAGCTCTGGGGCCCACCCAGCCTCCTATCCAATGGGTACCGTGGGTAAGCGGCCGGAGCGTGAAGCTGACCACTCATCTCCAACTAGTGCCCAGGTCAAGAAAGTGTGGATCTATACATCCAATTGTAAATCTAATTGTAAACACGGCGAACACGAGAAATGTGTTTCTAATTTTCTGTTTAAAAGCTGTAACTAATTACGTATTCGAGCCAAGCGCATAGAATTTTTAATGTATATACATCATGAACATATTTATGATTGTTATAGTCAACACTTTCTAATCTCTGTACAATAAAACCATAATTATATTATATGGCATTTTGGCAGCACTGTACTGATAGAGCGCTGGCTGCAGGTAGTACTGATTCTGCCGGTAGGAGGCTCTGTCAACAGTAGTATCTCTGTCATTTCTATTACAAATGCTTATGCTGAAAAGCTGCCGGATAACTGTATTTTCTTTTAGTATCAAGTGCTATGATTGGATTGTGAGTATGCTAATTGAGTCCCCTGCTACATTAATAATTAAATTTTATGGCTTGGGGTGCGAAACCTTAATATTATGGACTTATCTGGAAAGTGTAATACATCTGATGTCAGAATTATTTGCAGAAGTAGACGACTACTAGTAGCGAGATAACGTGCAATTTTACTCCCGCTAACCCTGTATGATTCATATCATGGTGTTATAAATGTAGCGTTTCTTTTTCAATGGCTCTACAGCCCTTTGTTGGGCCGTGGCCTCTTCTTCAATTCCGTAATCATTTACACAGACGGTAGGACACCTTGGACGAGTGAACAGCCCGTCGCAAGGCCGCTGCCTAAACACAGGACAACACAAACACAGAATAAACGCATATACACACCAAACATACATGCCTTTAAGTGGGATTCGAACCCACACTCCTAGCATCCGATTGAGCGAAGACATTTCATGCCTTAGACTCGCGTGTAGCGTTACCCCCGAAAATAAGAACTAATTTCCTAGCAGGGGCAGTGACTTGATTTTGAAATTTTATCCAGTCTCCAGGTCAATAGGAGGAATTTCACTAATGTTTCCCCTCTGGCGTGGTTACTTGTTGGCTTTCACATCTAAACAACTAAATTATTTTGTATTTCCGGCTTCAGTTACGTGAGAATATCTTAAAATCTCACGCTAGCGATATGCTGTGTTGCTCAGCGAAATGGATCAAGTCCCTTGTTAAGCTCTGCGGCAAGTCTTACCGTCCTGCCAAGGGCGAAAAGCGTAGTTGTAACTTGGGCAATGTCCTTCTTCTCCCACAGGTCTACGGTCTGGAAGACGTCCACATCAGCGACGCCGTAATTCTTGAGCGCTTGCTGGAACCTAAACCCCACATTTCAATTAGTATCAGTCAGCCATAACTGGATTAACTGATTAAAACCAGGAGTATCTGTCGGGTTCTAACATTCTGGTTGAGCTCAATCGTAACCCACGTCCATCCTGTATAAATTTCACTTTGTATGCTGGAATTAATTTAGGATTGTGCTCGCCGTAATCTGTACCAGATATCCCAGTTGTGTTCGAGTGTATTATTTTATTAATTAATTGCAAGGTCATCACTGTACCCTGGACACTAATATGTAGAATTCATCAGATACAAAATAACTACTGATAATCACTCTGAAGATTTAAATAACATCTATTATTTCCACATTAGCACAATGCCCCCAATTTTCTTCCCATGCATGTTTTGTAATGTTCCCTTGCATTAACAGGTAGTTGCAACAATTTAAAACACAGTACACTTGCAGTAACCAGTTCTTACTTCTAGGTACATTTTCGACACAAATCCCACCACCTCTTATACGCACTAAATCACGATTCCGCTGAATATGCGAGGTAGCAATGATGAAAATCTGTTTTTGAAAATTCAGTGTCGTCTGTCTGTCAACCCGAAAACTATTAATACGTAGCCCATTTTTTTACGAATGGTTTCAAATGCAGGACCCCTCAAAATATAAACAATTTCAGGTCTGATTACTTTTTCCACGGGTGAACTCTTAGTTCACCCTATCTTATATACACTAAATCACAATTCCACGGAATATATTCGGTACTAGCGACGGCATTTTTTCGGCAAAGGCAGAGACTCTAATGACATATGGCGGCCACTCCCGTGACTACTACCACAGCTATCTATTGCGGACATCCTTTGGATGCCTTAGGCTTTTATATACTAGTACATCTTGGCCCTAGTTCTTAGTGTTTCTATCTCAGTGTGTTGTGGAACACAGAAAACAAGGATATACTGTTTGAAACATGAATCGTCAGCATAGAAGTCAGGAGAAGAGTGATTCCGTTCACTTAGTTTGATGCCAAATATAGAGCCCTTATGCCCCAATGAATTGAATCGGTCTATAACGTGAAGAATAACAGAAACTGGAGAGAGTATCATTAAGAACTAAAATAATAGAGATATAGACGCTTATAATTTTGAAATTTATGACTCTTTGCAAATGTAAACAGAACGTAGACATAAGAAGAAATATCGGATTGTTTCGATAAATCTTGATGAGGCAAAGGGATGTCTAGGATGATGAGAGTGTGTTCTCGCTGGGGAGAGAATTTATACGGATGCCGACGATATATTGGACACGCATGACGAAATGTCAGTAGGTCCTAATGGAGGTGCAAAGAAACCTGAGATAAGACGAGGAAAGCCGAAAGATTAGTGAGTGTGTGAGTACAGCATGTCAGACCCGCGAGCAACCGCTGCGCTCATATACAGCGGCTTCATGTGAGTAGGGTCATGGACTGGTCATGGCTGCCGCACGCCTCATGGGGCAGAGGTAGGAATGGAGTGATGACTGGTGGGGGTGGGGGCGAATTGAATTATCCTGGAGAGAAATCTCCATTTCCACCACGGAACTTGTGAAGTCAACTGGGAATAAACTAGGGCCACCACGATGAGAAGCCACATCCAACAGCCTCGACTAAGAAACGGCCATAAATATACATTATGTCGGATATGCGAAAAATATTCATATATTTAGAAACCCGAAATTAACGGCCGTGGGAATCCGTTGCGCTGACCACGCGACATCCTCTATCCGCTAAAGATGGCACTAACTTCGCCGAAAAGCGGCGGTCGCTCGGTCGGTATAGTTCGCTTGCGGACTACAACCACGGAGTTTTGTGCGAAAAATATTCATGTATCTAAGAGTATAGCTAAGAAATTGGAATAGGCTGGGAAAAGCAATCTTGACTAATATATTCAGGGAACTTAATATCCTCGTTAAATGGATTCAAACAGGTTCATCGTGTAGTAAACTAAGGTAGATTTTAATTACTCAGAAATTATACGTGGTTTTGGGGCAGAATATCCTCTTATACGATTTCAATTTGTAATGCTTTATGTTAGAACTGGACTCTGACGGTGATGACCTTGAAGAGTATCAGCGTCCAGTTGCTGAAAATAAAGGACTTGTGTAAAGTATTTTACTTTACTACTGCGATGTGGTTTTTAAGAATCTTCACTCCGTAACTGCAAGCTGTCTCAATTGAAAGTGATGTTCTGTTCTGTTATATCCTACTATATATAGTATATATATATAACATACGTATATAAGTATATACATGTACATATCTACTGTAAGTTGGAAAGAGAAAATGAAATACAGACGAAAGTTCTATCTTCTGAGGTATACTGTCGTGTAGTCTGTTGAAAGTCAACCGACGTTTAGGAGGAACATGTCGCCTCCATCTTCAGGTTTGAAGAATAGGCCATGTTGAGCTCTACTTGCCAAATGCTTCACTCTTGTTTCTCGATAGGCTTATTCTTCAACCTTGAAGATGATGATGATAATGACATGTTTCTCCGAAATGTCTGGTCAGGTTCAACAGACGGCACTGTGTTACATCCCAGAAGACAGAACTCTTCATAGCGACCGCTGAGAGAACCTCAAATCGCAAAGAAGCGTATGTGAATTGGACAGACGCTGACTTAACAAGCAGATGTCTGGCATCGGCCTCATAATTTAACCGTGAAATGTTTCGAATTGTTAACTTTTTGGCAGCTCCACCGTTCATTCATTGAATCAGTTCCCTTTCATCTAATTTTAGCTTTGATTATTATCAGTTAAGTATATAAGACAGTTGTTCCCAAATTATGCTTCCGCGGCTTACCAGTGCTCCTGTAGCTGGGCCTAAGTGACCCGCCAGCGGCCTCCATAGTCTAGGGGTAACGTTCCCACCTCATGACTCAAGGTACGCTGGTTCAAACCCGGCGGAGGTCGTGGAATTTTTAAGGGCGGAAAAATTCAGGGAACAAGTCCTCCGGGAGGGACTTTAAGCCGTGGGTCCCGTGTCGTAGATTTACGGCACGTAAAAGAACCTAATGTCTCTAGGAGACCTCTGAGCTAAATTTAGGCAATTTTCTGCCCAAGTAGTTTCCAATGCCTCCGGTAGATGGGGGAGCTTAGGTACCACTGCCAGAGGAGGGACGACCTCACTGATAGAAAGGGACTAGCTACTAAATACCGCTGCCAGTAGAAGGCCGAAACCTCGCTGGCAGAAAGGGAACGATAGCAAGCACCAGTACCGGTAGGGTATGGAGACAGTAGAAATTCAATGGGGGACACACAATAGATCAAACTGGTCGCGGTGCATGGGGTAACCCACCCCGTCAGTACTGAATAACTGAATAACTGAAGGGTTCCGCCACTGAAAGCGAGGAATGGCTGTTCTTACGCAGTTTCTCAGAAGCGAAAAAGTTAAATGGATAGAATTTACTCGACTTTGCACGTATGTAATAATGTCTAGAATATAAATTGTATCTCTTATTTATCCTTCGTCTCTTCTAGGTGTGGTTTAAAATAGTTGCTAATAATAATATAGTTGGTAATAGAAAAAGATTTATAAAAAATTAATATATTATTGTTATTCAGGTTTTCTTGGTTCTAAATTTTGCGCTTCTCTTTGGGAAACTGCTGGTCTTTGAGTTCCTTCTCAGGAATCAGAGGTTTTCTGGTCGTCTAGTGAAAATTGTGCTGCTGCTATACGCTCTTCCGGTGCTAATGTTGTCTGTAGGGAACCTGTTCATCTTAATCGTGTTAATCGTACGTCTAATATCTGTTATTAAAATATTAATTGTACCCATTATTAATGTATGTGTATATACGTGATGCGGTGTATGGGTGTGAAACTTGGTCTCTGATATTAAGGGAGGAACATAGACTGAGGGTGTTTGAGAACAGTGTGTTGATGAGAATATTTGGACTGAAGAGAGATGAAGTGACGGTAGAGAAACTGCATAATAAGGAGCTTCATAACTTGTACTCTTCTCCAAGTATAATTAGAATGATCAAGTCAAGGAGAATGAGGTGGGCAGGGCATGTAGTACGAATGGGGGAGAAGAGGAATGCATATAGGATATTGGTGGGAAAGCCAGAAGGAAAGAGACCACTGGGAAGACCAAGGTGTAGGTGGGTGGACAATATTAACATTGATCTTAAAGAGATAGATTGGGATGGTATGGATTGGATTGATCTGGCTCAGGATATGGACCAGTGGAGGGCTCTTGTGAACACGGCAATGAAACTTTGGAGTTCGTACAATGCTAGGAAATTCTTGAGTAGCTGCAGATTTGGCTTTTCCTGAAGAAGGGCTCATCTCCATAATTAAGTAATGCTAGTATGTTTCCTTAGTCGTTACTACTCACATGTTAATATTCTCCATCATCTTGAACTGTCCACCAGAAGTATTGATTTTGGAAATGCTGCCAGGACTAATCTTATTCATTAATTTGCAGAGGACCTGACCGTCACGGAGAACGTCCTCAAACGCCTCTCCTGGTGGGAACTTTTCACCCAAGACCGTCTCTATCCACGCTTGAGCCTCCTTCTCTTGCTCAAGGTCCCTTTTGCCGGCCAACTGAAAAACAACACATATATTAGATTCTAAGGGGTTCTGACGATGGTGGATGACACATAGAATTACTGGTTTTGACTTTTTCCATCTTCCGGAATTCTATGTAATAGAAGACACGACGTTTCCTCACCTGAAGACGGAAACAAATCCATTTTCCTAAACATCGTTTCTTCTACTACCTAGAATTCCGGAAGATGGAAATAGCAAAAAAATCCAGTAATTCTGTGAACACATATATTGCTGTTAACTTTTCTGCGATTTGTTAAGTTTCGTGCAAATATCAACACTTGTCTGGCAGATACTATAGAACCGAAGGAAGTGAAACCTGCTGTAGGGATCGGAGGGCGCTCTATGCTTCCGCAGTTCCCATCCTACTCAAGTAAGAAGCCTCTATAACATGTTCATATTGGATGGTTGCACTATGCACCGTAACATTCCTATATAGCTCATGTGTTTCTACAGCAGCCTAAAGAATGTCGTCCAGACTGGCTCTGGTGTCCACCCAACCCCCTATCCAATCAGTACCGGGGTCTCTTTCCATGAGGGTAAAGTGGCCGGTGCGTGAAGCTGACCACTCACCTCCAATCATTGCCGAGGTCAAGAAAACGTGGACCTATACATCCACTGGCCCACACGCTTTCATAGCACAGAACAATTTTAGCTCTTACAGCAGCCTAAAGTGAAAATGACGGCAGTAGAAGAAAGAGTGGCTTCCCAGACGAAATATCTGTTAGCTTTCGTCACCAGGTGAAAAGGCTCCCAAATTACATTTCATTGTAATACTCGTAATGCATACCCCTAGACACAACTGACTTCAACCGAGTAGAAATAGCGAATCCCCTGTTGGGAATTCATCACGAACTTTATTCATTTGATACATAATCTCTCATACTATTAATTTCCCTTGCAATTAAGGGAGGAACATGGACTGAGGGTGTTTGAGAACAGGGTGTTGAGGAGATTATTTGGACCGAAGAGAGATGAAGTGACAGGATGTTGGAGAAAACTGGATAATGAGGAGCTTCACAGCTTCTATTCTTCTCCAAGCATAATTAGAATAATCAAATAAAGGGAGATGAGGTGGGCAGGGCATGTAGCATGAATTTGGAGGAGAGGAATGCATATGGGATATTTGTGGGAAAGCCGGATGGAAAGAGACCACTGGGAAGACCTAGGCGTAGTTGTGTGGACAATACTAAAATGGATCTCAGAGATATAGAATTGGATGGTATGGATTGGATTGATATGGCTTAGGATATGGACCAGTGGAGGGCTCTTATGAACACGGTAATGAGCCTCCGGGTTCCATAAAATGCTGGGAAGTTCTTGAGTAGCTATCGGCGGTTTCTCAAGAAGGGCTCAGCTCCATGATTGAGTGAGAGAATTTCCCCCGCTTTCTCCAATGTTCATTTTCGCTCCTACATAGACACAGTGCAGTTAAGCAGAAGACTATTCTGCTACTACTGATTAGTTTCGAATGTAGTAAGTTTCTTGAAAAAAAAAACTACTGCGTAAAAGCGATGTAACATCCATGTATAGAAATATAACGTACAGAGCATCATAAACCATTTCTTTTTATAAATGCAGGTCTGCATGGCGTTCATGATTAATTTTTCCGCAGCCAAGACTTAAGTTCTTATGCTGTTTTCTTGTGGGGCTAGGCTAAGAAGACGTTTGTCACACCAAATCAAGAAACCTAAGAACTGGAGGAAAGAATAAGAAATGTTCTTACCAACATTGTGATCATCAGTGCCGAACATGGGAGTCTGGTTGAGGTTGTGTGCTGTTAGCGATTGTAAGTGTTGTTCGTGAAACCTTTTATAATAATCCATTATTTGCAGTTATTTTTTTTCTGTTCAAAAATAATATTTCTACAATGTTTAAAAATATTTAGTAGATTATCATAAAGAAACAAACTCCGTGGCCTATAGTCCGCAAGCGAACTATACCGACCGAGCGACAGCCGCTTGCCGGCGAAGTTAGTGCCAACTTTAGCGGATAGAGGGTGTTACGTAGTGAGCGCAACGTTTCCCTACGGCCGTTAATCTCGCTTTTCTAGACCAAAGCCACTATTTCCTTGAAGTAGCTCCCCAATTATCCTCACGAGGCTGAGTGGATCCCGTTCCACACCCAGTACTTCTCAGAAAATCTGGTAACGCCGAGGATCGAACCCGGAATCTCTTGATCTGTAGCCAGGAACTCTGATCACTAGACCACGGAGGCGGTCAGCTTATACATCCTGCATATATGTGTAGTGAATGAAGAAGCTTTTAATAAAGACCTGAATGTTAAATGTGAAATTAAGCATTTACACGAGTATAGGCCTCTTGTGTACCGTCACGACAAGTCTCATCATTAAGCTCAAATTGTGCCGGATATTTTTATCCTTAAATACGATGCTGTTCACAAGAATTTTACGAACATGCGATCTGCAAGACCCCAAATATATAGTTACAATATAGCACTAATAAAAGAACAAAAGGTACAATTAGGTAAATATAGAATTTATTTCACAGGTAAGAAATTTTATATTGTGGTTGAAGATAGGTTCGTAACTGTCAAAAATAATCGATTTTGGAGCCGATTCTAAACCACTGTAATCGCGGTATTTTCGTCTAGTATATTTCGGCATGAATTTCCTTACTGTTCTCCCGGGGCCGCGCCATAGCTCAAGCGGTTAGTCGCTGGCTTCCCACCGCGGCGACCCGGGTTCGATCCCGGATTTTGTCAAGTGGGATTTGTGGTGGGCAAAGTGGCGCTGGGGCTGGTTTTCTCCGAGTACTTCAGTTTCCCCTGCCAATCTTCATTCCACCAATTGCTCCACAATCACCCTCACCTATCATCTGGGGCTGGTACAGTAGTCCAGAAGTGGCCGCAGTACAAGGGACTTAGTCCCACCCCACTAGCAATAAAACAGTTCTCTTCTCCCATAATGCATCTCAGTCTGCTGCAATATTCTAAATTCCTAACTCTGGAAGCATTCAAATGCTGGCCGGAAAATGAAGCTTGAAATTAAAAAAAAAAAACAACGAAGATATGATAATGTGCTGCCTGAGCAGACGCTATCCACACCTCAGGGGACAGTGACAAGTGAGTAGAGAGCAATAGTTGAGTGAGGATTAGCAGTGGAAATATGAAGATATCTTGAAGGAGAACCTGCTTCAAAGTCACTTCTGTTACCACAAACTCCACAAAAAGTCACCCGGGTATAAACTCAGGACTTCTCGGTGGGAAGTCAGCGCCTAGCCGCCTAAGCTAACGAAATTGTGAAATTGATATCTGAGTTGCTATTTTCTTACCGCATTTCCGGCCACATCTCAACTCGTTACATTTCACCACATTGGGAATGCTGGGCTCACAGAATGTGTGATACCGCCAAGCTCTACATAAATTGTTGCGACCCCCGTCTTTAAACTTAAGTGAGAAGTCTGAGCTCTTCATGAGACTGTAAGCTGACAGCAGTAAGTAAACAGAGTTAGAACTTTTCTACATGTACAGTAATCTATAAAATGTTCCTGTAAAAAAGGTAAAATTGTCCCTGTGCTTAACGAAATAAGCACTACGCCATGAAGACGTATGGTGGAGTGGATGTGTAGATCCATATTTCCTTGACCTCGGCACTAGTTGCAGGTGAGTCGTCTGCTTCATGCCTCGGCCGCTTTGTCCCCAGGGAAAGAGCCCCCGGAACGCATCGAATAAGAGGTTGGGTGGACCCCAGAGCAGGTTTGGAAGACATGTAGAAGTGAAAATTCTTGACCCCACCGGGACTCGGAACTCCGACCCCCCGGTCGTCCAGCCAGTAGCCAGCCCCTATACCGACTGAGCTATCCCGGCTCACCAACATGTTCCTGAGTAGTCAAAAGAGCAATCACGAAAAGTTTCGCCTGCTGCAGCTTCGTTTCTTCGAAGCATCTATATAAAATCTCACCGACTACTCCAGAACTAGAGATGAATGTTTCAAATAATTCTTGAGAACTATGCGACCATCCGGGGAGTCGCAACCCACGGTTTTGAGAAGCCATGATGTAGATCACTTAATTCAACATCTGAACAGATCAGAGGTACTAAAATGTGAGGGCTCAAATGGAGGTATGATAGTGATACATCTTTCTGGAGAATGTGACATTTATTTTAATACATGAATTATCTAAGATAAAAATAACTGTCATATAAGATTGGTTACCAATTTATACTGCAAACTGTCCTTCTCATAAGTAAGAATAAGAAATAAAATGCCAAAAAGCAAGGTGTGTATGACTGATTAATAAGTATATATAAGACAGGTTGGTGAAACTCCGAGGCGTAGTGTCTCCGTCTCCTTTCTGACAAATCTTGTGTAATTAATTAAGTATCCAATTAATACTATGACATTTAATTACGAACTGCCGGCTAACATGTTCCACCAATTGATTAAGCTCTGAGTCAGCTGTGTCCAATCCATTTCAACAAAACTCATTTTATTCTTTTTAAAGTTCTCTTATTTTCCTTCGTTTCTGTGTGTATCTTCCAAGCGTTCGCTTTTCATCATCATTCGCTAGCCGAGTTACATACCCGTTCCATAAAAACTCATTGAATTCATTACCCTTAAAATATTAATATAATAATATATATCATTATAAGGTATACTATATGTAACCAGGTAAGTATTAAGTTCTGAGCCATTAAACCCTGAAAATGGAGGCAATACGTTCTTCCGAAACGTCGGTAATATGCACCTGACTACAAGGCAGTATGCAGAGGACAGCAATCTTCATGAGAGCCTCTCACACACAGATCGTGATATTTTTCTCCTGTCTCCGAGCATGACTTCCTCATTTCCGAATATTTACACCAACATTTGGATCTGTTGTGAACTGCTATGATAAATTGTTTCTTACCTTGGCTCTGACCTGACGTTCAAGCGACATGGTGGCCTATAGTGATTAGCAGCGAAGGTAAAGGAGAACTCTCCCGAAGCGCAGTTTCGGATAGCGTTATGCACACACACACACACAAACTGGGTACCAATATTAGATGACCGCTCTGGTTATATAGGCGTTCATAAGACGCCCCTCTCTTACCCCCTCTCCTCTCCTGCATGTATCCCACGCTTGCCATAATCTTCACAAGAAAATTCAAGATATTTTCACAGCACCCCCCTCTATTCCTCCATCCACCCCTCTTCGCAGTAAGGACCAGAAACAGTAGTCCCGAAACTTGTAGTCTATAAATAGGGCGATTGTTCAGAGTAAATGCCTGCGGAAGTGTGCGAATCATCGATTTTCCTAATGCAGCCAACATTCCTGGCGTTAGTTCCACTTGAAGCATTACTGCTCACCTCTCAAGACGCCTCCCACGCACACAAAGGGAAACCGACGGTTGCAGTGGCAGTGCGTATAGATCCTTATAGCACTAAGTCAGCATCTTACGGTAGGGGAACTGCCAAACTAATATAGTCTTCCTTATTCTTACGATTTTGAGGACCGCCTCTGTGGTCTAGTGGTCAAGAGTTCCTGGTTACATATCTTGAGGTCCCGGGTTCGATTCCCGGCGCTACAAGATTTTCTGAGAAGTAGTGGGTATGGAATGGGGTCCACTCAGCTTCGTGAGGATAACTGAGGAGCTAGTTCAAGGAAATGGCGGCTCCGGTCTAGAAAACCAAGATTACCAGCCTTGGGGATCCGTTGCGCTGACCACGCGACACCCTCTAACCGCTAAAGTTGGCACTTACTTCTCCGACAAGCGGAAGTCGCTCCGTCGGTATAGTTCGCTTCAGGACTACAGGACACTGAGTATGTGATTTGAAAAAATTGTTTTACTGGGTTTTTGGAATTTTTCCATCCTCCGGTATTCTAGAAAATAGAAAACACGACGTTTCGGAAAGTGGATCTGTTTTCGTTCAGAGGTGGGTGGGGGGGGAAGACACCTACTCAGCTGGGTCCCTTAAAAACCCCTAATCTTAATCACTGGATCAATGAGATTAGCTCTTTCTAAGGGACCCAACTGAGTAGGTGTCTTCCCTCCGTCACCTGAGAATGGAAACGTCCAGTTTCCGAAACGTCGCGTTTTCTATTTTCTACAATACGGGACGATGGAAAAAGTCCAAAAACCCAGCAGTTCTATGTGTTATTCACCATCTCCAGAACCTTTTAGAATCCCTTTTTTTTTGTTAAATTTAGATAGTGACATACACCCCTTCAGTTTCTCGTAACTTGATGCTTTTGGCGCGATGAAAATACGTTACGTGTGATCCCTCATCTCTCCCTGCTCGACAATCCCACAGGCAGTACAATGCATCATTCTGGAATGAAAGTGGGAGTGTCACATTTGTGTAGGCCCTGAAATTGGCACATACATTACTCGGTTTCAAGGTATAAGAGCAGTAATTTTAGAAAACCTTCGTAAAAGAGACCTCCAAATGAATTTGCAAACATCAGGTTAGCTCAGGTGGTATAGGAACGGGATATTGGCTGGACAGATGGGGCTAGATTTGTCGCAAGGACAGGAGATGTTTCTCTACTCCATTGAGTCCAAACCGGTTATGGGGCCCACCCAACCTCCTATCCAGTGAATATCGGGGACTTTTTCTCCTGAACGCGTGAAGCTGATTACCGATCTCTGTCTATCTCTATCTAGCGTTCAGGGTGATTGCTTTAACCAGTCCAAATTATCCTACATATCTTAACGTAATTAAAACTAAAGCAGGTAAAAAAGCAATCTTAAGACTGATTCAAAATTAAAAGGCGTTTGTGTTGCGAATAACGCATACCCTTCGGAAAACAAAGACAAAGATTTATATAATTTAGGGTATTTTTCTAAGTCCATAAACAAAAACTGACAGGTTACGGTAACCGAGCGGTCTAAGGCATGCACTGTCTTCGCTTGCTCGGATACCGGGATCGTGGGTTCCAATCCCACTGAGGGCATGGATGTTCAGAGTTTGTGTGTTTGTGTATAGGTAAAGACCTTACGACGAACTGATCAGCCGCGAAAGGTGTCCTAAGGAATGTCTAAGATCTAGTAAACCGAAGTGAAACGGAAAGTTTCATGGAGGTAGTCCAAGGCCCATATTGGGGCTGTGGCGCCAAAAGGGGGAAAAAATAAAAATTACAATGTGAACAACAAGACCTTCCCCAACTTGTATACATTAGCCACTGGAGGGGGGAATAGCGCAGAGAATTGAGATGACTGTATAAGTACTACTTGATGATGGCTAAAAATAGTGGCCGAAACGTGTCGCAATTTAGAAAACTGTATAGTTATCATAGAATAACACATTCTGTGAGATTGAAACTGAATAAAATGTTATACATACAGTATGATGCTAAAACACATCACTACTGTTTGCTAACAGGAGCCGGTATAGCGACTGGCTATGGCCTGGACGACCGAGGGTCCGGAGTTCGAGTCCTAGTAGAGTCAAGAATTTCCTCTTTTCCACGTCGTCTAGACCGAATCAGGGTTCCGCCCAAATTCCTATCCAATGGGTACCGGGGGCTCTTTCCCCCGGATAAAGCGGCCTGGGCGTGAAACCGATCACTCACCTCCAGCTAATGCCGAGGTCAAGAATATGTGGCTCTATACATCCACTTCCCCATACGCCTTCATGGCGTAGTGCTTAATTAGTTAAGCACAGGAACAGCTTTACCTTTACCTACAAATTAGCTCCATTTTGATTATAATTCTTTCCACATCCTGCAAACGAGAATTGAATGTACACCTAATTATCTCTGCGTTAATTTATAGACCATTCTCCATGCTAGCGCTATCCTATTCTATATGATATTGATGATTTCTCATGATATATTATCATCAGCTAACAAAGCATCATATATGTATGGATAAAGAATTCCCTCTGCTTTGAAATCTTGTATTATTATGGCTCTACAGCCTTTTTTTGGACCTTGGCCACTTTTTCAGTTTCTTGATCCTATACGTAGTCGGCAGAACTTCTTGGACGGGGGATCAGCCCGTCGCAAGGCCTCTACCTGCACACAGCACAACACAAACAGAATAAACGCACACAGATATCCATGCCTTGAGTGGAATTCACCGTCCCAGCGTTCGAGCTAGGGAAGACAGTTCATGCCTTAGATCGCGCGGCCACTGTGATCAGCGAATCTTGTAATTAGGGAAGATATAACATTGTATGCAGTGGTACTGGGTCTATGTACAGCTTGAAAATGGTTGCTTTGGGAACGATCTCTCTCAGATAAATTCTTGTCAGGATGTACTCGTATGTACTGTTTTACGAGCCTGTCTGTGAAGGTCTCACTGAAATTAACACGAACATCGATAATAGGATTAGAGCTTGAATTTGAATTTCAGAAATGTAAATAGTATACTCTTTGACAACAGGGTGTTCAGGAGAGTATGTGGACCGAAGAGGGATGAAGTGACAGGAGGTTGGAGAAAACTGCATAATGAGGAGCTTCATAACTTGTACTCTTCTCCAAGTATAATTAGAATGATCAAGTCAAGGAGGATGAGGTGGGCAGGGCATGTAGCACGAATGAGGGAGAAGATGAATGCGTATAAGATATTTATGGGAAAGCCAGAAGGAAATAGACCACTGGGAAGACCAAAGCGTAGGTGGGTGGACAATATTAAATTGGATCTTAGAGAGATAGGATGGGATGGTATGGATTGGATTGATCTGGCTCAGGATATGGACCAGCGGAGGGCTCTTGTAAACACGGTAATGAACCTTCGGGTTCCATAAAGTACTGGGAAATTCTTGAGTAGTTGCAGATTTGGCTTCTCCTCAAGAAGGGCTCAGCTCCATGCGTAAATAAGTAAACAGTATTCTCAACTTAGGAATATCCTTGTTACTGCAAACAACATTTTGTGTCAGACTGTTGTGTGCATTGCTTCTTTAAAATTACGTTTATAGCAAGCAGTCATTTTGAGAGAGATGGCAGAACGCGCGACAAAAGGGCATAAACATACAAAGGCCACAAATGCAAGGTTCTCTGCTTGAAGCGGCTCTCCACGGCACTTCGCGGCCCCGTGGCGGACCGCTCGGTTTCACGGTTTGTCACGTGACCTGTGAGTGTCTATCGCAAGCCTTTCGTAAATTTACGTCACAGCTTGGCAGCCGTTGCTGGAGTGTAGGCGGTTAAGATGCGCATTTCCTTTTCTGCTAGCCATTTTTAATACACGTGAAGACAAATTCTGTTAAGGACCCGAGCGTGACATCGCCTCTTTCATCTCTCGCCCGAAGCCCATCAACCGACAGAAAGGGACAAGTCTTCTTTTTCTTTTTTTTTTTCATAGATACAGTACAGGACTGGAGTGGTTAAAGTACAGAGCTGGACTGAGCTGTAGAGGTGAAGTTCTATTAAGCTCTGTACCATTTCAGTGGTTATTATTTTTATTTCTTTTTAAGTAGTAGCTGACCGCCTCTGTGGTCTAGTGGTCAGAGTTCCTGGCTAAAGATCCGGAGGTCCGAGTTCGATTTCCGGCGCTACCAGATTTTTTGAGAAGTAGTGGGTCTGGAACGGAGTACACTCAGCCTCGTGAGGATAATTGAAGAGCTACTTCAAGGAAATAGCGGCTCCGGTCTAGAAAACCGAGATTAACGGCCGTGGGGATCCTTTGCGCTGACCACGTAACACCCTCTATCCTCAAAAGTTAGCACTAACTTCGCCGACAAGCGGCGGTCGCTCGGTCGGTATAGTTCGCTTGCGGACTAAAGCCACGGAGTTTTTTTTATGGACAATATCCCTAAATGATTCAATGAGGGGTACCGTGCCTGCTCTATCTATGTCCCCTGGGCTTACCTTCCGGTCTATAATTTCTTCCAGTGTGGTGCGGAGAGGGTGAGCCCCTGCATGAGCATTCTTGTGACGAAGTTGCGAGCTGAATAGCAGAATCGAACCTCCAGAGGATACAATACAATGTTTGCTAGTGTTGAGGACCTCGGTCCCAGAGCTGTTTTAAGTACGTTCTGCTGAATTTTCTCGAGAACTAGTGAGTGTAAGAAAATGCAGCTTGGTTGTGGGAAGTGTTAACATTTGGCACTGCAGAACTTACCCATTCACGAGTAAACTTAGAACAAATAGAATTCTGGTAACCCTTGCTACCATATGGTTCATAAACTTTTGTCTTCTCGTCTGTTGTAAAAAAATCGTGAAAATTAAAATATACAAATCATAATTCTGCCTGTAGTTTCGAATGAGCGTGAAACTTGGTATCTGACATCAGAGGAGGGACATAAACTGAAGGTGCTCAGGATCTTCATAACCTATATTCTTCGCGAAAGACAATTAGAATGACGAAGCCAAGGATAATGAAATGGCACGATATGTAGCATGCATGGGGAGAAGTGTGATGCATAGAAGATATAGGTGGGATAGACAGAAGGAAAGGTGGGATAATAATATTATTAATGATCTTAGAGAAATAGGATAAGGTATTATCGACTGGATTTATTCGGCTCAGGATAGGAGCTAATGGAGGGCTCTTGTGAACACTATAATGAACGTTCGGGTTCCATAAAATGTCGAAAAATTTTTGAGCAGCTGAACGACTGTCGGCTTCTCAGGAAGGACTCAACTGTATGGAGTTAGTTAAATAGAATATACAGAAATGTGTATGATAACATTTGTTCAGTTAGCATATTTCATAACATGATAAGTATTTTCTATTTTAAATACTAAAACTAGCCACGTGATATTCACATGGCCCGTTCTGAGAATGTCGGCTGACCATACAAGAGCGAACTCTTTACGTACCGTGCAGTTAATATAGCAACGAACCGATTTGTATGGCCTCTCGTATCTCGAGATAACATTCATCACCCATCCACCAATGGGAAATACGCGTTCAAGCCATAAACTATAAATATCGGGCCATATTCACTTCTTCCGGTAAAAGAGATAACATTTAATTATAAACAGAATGCCTTGCCTATTTTAACGTTCAAGCTGGAAAAACATTTTCCTGCGCAACGGATCAACCGAACTGAACAGATCATGTACATGAGCTTATTTATGTTCTGACTAATTCCATGGGACAGGGGTTCTCGATTGGAGCCAACAAGAATTTTCCAACATTACATGGAACCGAAGAATTATTACTGTGTTCATAAAGGCCCGTCATTGCTCTGTCAGGCAAGATGAACCGCTCCATACGAAATTTAACCGAAGTTTGGTGTATTAATTTTTAAAGTTTGAAAATTATCCCTATAACAGGCCGTGGAGGTCCATAGGGTTTTGGGAGGTTGGGGCTCCCACATTTTCTAGACAATCGGCTCACAGATGGAGTTAAGTTTATCAAGCCTTACGCGCCGGCCGCCCTTTACTCCCCAGGAAGATTCCTGGTACTCATTTCTGTTAGAGGCTGGGTCGACACCAGGGCCATAGTGCGCCTGGAAGGATTAGGTAAATTGAGAAAAATCCACCATATCGGGACTCAAACCCGCGACCTTCCAGCTTGTAGCATAGTGCCTCAACAAACTTACATTTCATTATTCCCATTTTAAGGAAGCTTAATGGACCCTTAACAAATGAACGCTAGAAGTACTACGTTACTGAGTACACCCTCTCCAGTCCTATTTACTGCGACTGTAGTTGGAACGGCGACAGAAGATGAAACACGCTTTATTGTAAGCCAACGGCATCATACACTTCATCATACTTTTGGAACGTACTGTGGGGAAGCTGAAACCTTTCCAAAATGTCGGCGTGAAGATTTAAATTTGGTTCCGTGTGATGTCCACAGTCTAGAAGGTCTCTTTCGCGAATAATTTCACGGACAGGTAGATTTGGCCTCAGAACTTTGAGAACTCAAGCTCTCACTTGCCAACACATGTGCAGATGTTGGACGGCAGTGTAAAGCCCCCCTTCTAAGCAAATGAAGGGCGGGTTGTGTAGAGTAGCTGCCTCTTTCCATATTACCTCTCTTACCGAAGGCTTAATCATAACTGAGCCACCTGCTCACTTTGGTTCCTCGCTCGCATTTTTTTATACCCCGAGTCGATACATTCCTCCGAAACGTCGGTTCACACAAGATCTACACGGTGCCATATCCCAGAAGACGGCATTCTTCATAGTCACCTCCGTGAAAACCTCAAATCTTACATGCAATGTGTGTAGATCAGCTATAGCGCTGAATTGCCTGTAGTCCCGAGTTGTGTGAATGAGGTGTCAATAAATGCAATCAACCAATCAAGAACCCGTCTATAAGTCACGCACAACCCCGTACACGTGACAATATGTCCGAACTCGTGAAATGGCTTAGGTAATGTGTAACGAGATAAAATGGCGAATTAGCCATCGGCGGTTAGTTTGATGTTAGGCTCTTCAGAAAAACGGTCTCTGCTGGAGAAACAAAAGGTGAATAAAGGAAGGACAAGCAAGCGGAAGTTCCAAAGAACAGAATAGGTTAAAGTGAAAACTAGACGAGATAAACAAATTTCAGTACATAAGGACCGCAGCCCATAAGCCCTGTCCTGTATGAAGTTCCTACCACGAAGACTTGACACAGTGCTCCAGTTGCTAAGAGCGCTAACACAGAGCTTGTCCTAGCTACGAAGGAAGGACTTTGCTTAAATGTTATTACTCTCAGATCGTCCATTTACAGCAACAATGTTAATTTACCCGTGATAAGACAACGAAAATCGGGAGTCCGGATAGCGTAGTCAGTATAGCGACAGGCTACGGGCTGGACGACCGAGGTGTCGGAGTTCGAGTCTCGGCAGAGTCAAGAATTTTCTCCACGTCGTCCAGATTGGCTCTGGGTTTCACCAAACCCCCTATTCAATGGGTACCGGGGACTCTTTCCCTGGAGGTAAAGCGGTCGGGGCGTGAAGCTGACCACTCACCTCCAGCTGAGGTCAAGAAAATGTTGATCTATGCATCCACTCCCCCATACGCCTTCATGGCATAGTGCTTAATTAGTTTAGCACAGGGACAACTTTTAAGACAACGAAAATGCAGTGTTCCATTAGAAAAGTACTTCTGCTGATCAAGTAAAGCCAACAAGAGTTCCTACGTATCTCTGGGTTACTCAGTTCCAATAATTGAACATACTGAAATAAAGAAAATTATTTCGGTAGTTGCAATACCTACTTTTGATTTTGACAATTTCTCAGCATTACCAACGTATGCAAATTTTCCCTGTATCAAGTAATTTTTAACCTACTTTACCAAAGTGGGCTTCTACCATCTCCATCTGTCTGCGTGTCTGTGTATCTTGCTCTACAAACTTTTGAATGCCTGAACCAGTCTCTATGCAGCTCGGTACTGTCACGTGTTTCAGTGACTATAGACAGGTTTTGATTTGATAATCGGATTTACTAGACATTTTTACAATTCGTGACTACACTTCACAGATCTGTCACCCACAGACTAGTGTCCTCAGTCACGTTGCTTAGTAACGGCTTCAGTGGCGGAAGTTCCTCTGTTTCCGGGATCACGTCCTTGCAGGGTGGCGACCGTCTCACACCAACCGTATACTCAGACCATTATCTTCAGCCGGTACTTATTTCAGCTGCTAATTTCTGTGGTGGACTGACTTTCAACTGCCAACCTCCAATTTCAGCTGTCAATTCTCGACTGGCTCCAGTCGGTCGGTCAAATTACTAATGACCTTCGTCAGCACAGTCATCCCTGGCTTCAGTTTCCTCGAGATCCATGACCAAGATTTTTGTTATTTCCTAGGCATATACATATTTCAAAATTTGGCCTCCTCTTTGACGAAGGAGGGGTCGGTCTCTCTATGAAGGCGCTAGGTTTGTTGTACCGCAGTTTCGGCACGAGCATATCGGCGCCGTCACGGCTTTCAGGTCACTATGGATTATGTACACCCTTTGTCCCTGCACTATAATAAGTGACAATTATACAAGGTCTATAAAATTCATCATCATAACATCCGACTGTAAAATCTCGATGCTAAAAGCGTCGGTAAATATCCTGCGAAAAAAAAACCCACTGAAATTATATAACAGCTGGAAGAACTGAATTTCATCTGTGAAAAGATAAAGACAGAACTCTGGTATATCTGATTCACATCTAAATTAAGCCGTGACGTAGAGAGGGAATAATTTCCAAACACATTCCCTCCAGAATGCGCCGAGATCGTAGGCGTTGCTTGCCCTTGTAACTTCAACAAAAATATACGGACGCCTGCAAGTGTTTGTGTGATTATATTTGGCTTAAACGGCTGAATTTCCATGGCCACAGTGCATCTTATCGTACAGGCAGCCTGGTGCTTACCCAAAAATTAAGTAAAAATATTGAGATTAGGGTTCAGTATTACAGGTTGCCACTTCTAATTACTCTGGAAGAACTTGCTCTAATCACTAATTATGAATAACCTCTAGGATGTAACACCGTATATCCTGGTAGAAAATTTCCGGTAAATATGTCATCAGAGTACATGGGATCACACACCAGAATACAGCAACCTTTGTAGTCGCCGTTCTTCTGTCAGAGTAAAATTTTATGGTTTACGTTAGTTATACTGAAGAACAAATGGTAATTTTAAATTATCTCAAAACTTTATTACATATTAATCAAACCAATACATCGCTCACTGACACACTGACATTAAGAGAAATTAATGCAGAAAATATTATTTGTCTGTTATGAATATCTTGTACATTGAAGTATGTTTATGTTTTGTTGTAATGATGTCCCTAATTGTAGTTGAGAGCTTCATGAATTATGAGATAGAAATCTCATAGAGCGAGGTCAGGAGAATGAGGTGGCTGTGTGATGGCTGGAACTTGTGCTGCACGATAAGGGGCGCTGTCATGGTGCAGGATCCAATTGTTCCTCCGTTTTTTCCAGCCTTTCCCGGCGAATGGCGCCCTTCAGACATTTAAGAACTTCGATCTAAAATGTGGAATTCACCATTTACCCTACAGGGACAAAATCGAGACCCCCTCGCTTTAACAGGGAGCGCGATTACCTCGATGCGACTGAATTCTGGGAACTTCGCGATCCTTCCCCGTAAGCGTCGAAATACAAAAAAAGACAATACCAAGAAATTTTACATAAATGCATATGTTATATTGATATCACAAATTATCGTTATGATGCATCCAGAACTGATCTGTAGAAGTGTCCCGTTACACATTCATCTGTCAGTAACTCAGCATTCTTCGGTTTTGAAAACATTGAAATATCACTTCGCTCTTGTAAAGGCGCGTCCACATCACTCGTGCTCGTGCTCGTCGGGAGACTCGTCTGGCTTTTACTTGTGCTCGTAAATCTTCGTCCACACTACTTCAGTTGCTCGCCAGGCTTCGGCGCTTGAGGATCCGTATATTTACTCGTAGTGTGTATAGGCTGTAGTCGTATTTTAATTTATTGCCTATAGTTTTTAAATTTAAAATTTAAAATTTGCTTGTCTCGTGACTTGTCATATCGTCCACATTACTCGCGAGCATAGCGAGTCACACGAGCACGAGCACGAGTAATGTGGGCACGCCTTAATACATAAGAATACTTTCCCGTTTCCACATTACCTTAGAAATAAGGATATATTTTGGCTGTGAATGTGTAGACCTACATTAATTACATACAGTGAACTGAATTTCCTCACACAATTGTGAAAAATTAATCGCAAACCTGCCCACTGTATACACGTATGTGTCACATGAAAAATTCAAGTATGGACTGAAATCATCAAAAGAGGAAAAACACCAAGGACTCAAAACTAAATAATTAATGGTACCCTTGCATAACTGGTTATGTAGACATACATTACATAAAAGCAAAGCTAATCCACCATGTTTCTTACAAAAAATCAGCTTAAATAATGTAGTATATTACTTAATTTACTTATGACTAAAATATTATACTTGCCATATTCTTATCTAAATGATATTTAAGAGTAATATAAAATAAAGCTTAGAGTTCCCGAATGACGGATTACGTTTCCATAATACAATTCTGTTTAGTGGTGCAATGATTCTGTTACGTCACCAAGAGAAAGCTGTTGTGGTTGCGGGATTGGCTGGTAGGCGGCGGTGAGAGAAGTTCCTAAACGTCAGTCGCCATTCCAGATGCGTTTTCCTGTAGCTGGTATAAGGCTGTAATAATAGTTGTAGCATTGACCGAAAGGCGGCAGTGGAGGCTGTTCCTGAGCTTCAATTGGCATTGTAGTCTCCCATTTGTCAAAAGTTAATTTCCATTACTGATATCATATTCAGTGTAAACGTGATTTAGTACATGTAACAGTGAATCATTGGGAGGAGGGTATTATTTGCAGAAACTGTGACTGCAGTTGTGTACTGCAGGCAAGAAAATAATAATATTGCCATTCTATCAATGTTAGTATCTTAGTTTAGAAAACTATTGAAGCTACACACCATCATAAAATAATACTAAAATATATTTTTAGCCTACTTTCCTTATTTTGAAAGAATAAAGGGCGGCTTATGAGATAACCTTGCTGTTTGTGTGTCTATGTCCCCTCCAAAAACCAGAATAGTGGAGCCGGAAGTGACGGCTGTTGCTAGGCAGCGGCTCGGTAAAAGCGTTCCCCCGGAAACGAAAACGCAGTGTTTTCAATGCGGTCCGTGTCGTATCAAGTACTCAACATGTAGTGACAGGAAAGTAGGCGATCAGAACTTCTTGATTATTATAATAAATACACAAATATAAATTCTGAGAAAATAATCTGTGATCGTACACACATATTCAAGCGGTTAATTTATTTAAAAAACGCAATATACTGAAAAATCCCTCAACGTTTAGTTCATATTGGAAACCATATGGTCATTTATATCAGAATATGCCAAGTTAACAAATTGTTACATCGAAGTGAGTACCTTGCGTTCTTCGTGAACAATACCTAATGAAACAATCTTGTGCCATAATTACACAAATCATTCATTTCTGCGAAAGTGTAGATTATTCGACCTAACACTCACTGGAGTGGTCGTTCAAGCGGCGAAAAAAATATGTGCGTTGCCTGAAGTACTTTTACCTCCATAGGGTTAATGGATTTAGTGAATTCATGAACTCAAAACACAATATCCATTTATTGCTGAGAGTTTTACTGGACACATTCTATAGGTAATTTCCTAATTCTTCTCCAGTGTCATACAGAGAGTATAAATTTGAAAGAGCAGATGGCTGGAGCCACCTGTTCACGCTGGTTCCTCGCTTGCGGATTTTTCCAACCCTAAAGATGGAGGCGACATGTTCCTCCGAAACAACGGTTCACACAAGCTCTACCCAGCGACACATCTCAGAAGACGACATTCTGCATAGTCAGCGCCATGAAAACCTCAGATCTTATATAATCAGTAAATGATTGTAGTACTGAAAGTGTTATATATTTACAACACAAACCTTTAGAAAATTAGGCCGAATATTGAAAAAGGAAAGAAGATGGCGCGCGAACAGGAATGAGCTGTGGATCCCCGGGTTTTGAGTTGATCACCAGGTAGTCTCGCCCGTTGATGTTCTGATGTTTCCCGAAGCCATGTTGTTGTTGCATCAGAGACGAGTATGAAGGAGGGAACAGCTGCGACTTCTTGTAACCTAGGTTTCCCGTCCAGTCAATGTCTGAAATCTCCGTCTTGTTCCCTGCAGAACACCTCTTCATCGTTGTGTAAAACACCTTTCGGGAATAAAAAATAAATTAAAATTAGATTCACGACCCATAGAAACTGTGACACGTCTTTCTTCGAGCATGTGATCTACCTAAGCAGATTCTTCGGTCGTAACTCTGTCAGGTACAGCATGCAGCTGTCATGGGAAGGAGAAACGAAACATGAAGAGACAAGCCTCTCATTCACACACAATACGGAAGGATCAGTGATTTTCTTCTGATGTAGTGAAGGAAATAACTAAGTAAAAGGCCCATAGGGTTGTGAGACGTCAAGCCTCCCACATTTTCTCTAGACAGTCTGCTCACAGATGGCGGTGATGTCAGCTTTACGCGCCGGCCGCCCTCTACACCACAGGAAGATTCCTGGTACTCATTTCTGTTAGAGGCTGAGTCGAACCCAGGACTATAGTGCGGCTGGAGGGATTCGACGAATTAAAAAAAATCCAATAACGTAATCGAGAATAGAACCCGCCACCTTCCGGCTCGTAGCGTAGTGCCTCAACCAACTGCGTTACCGCGTGCCACTTAGCACACCTTATTTTTAAACACATGAAATAAGCTAGAGCAGAACATTTGTTAATCTAACTCCATCGTGTGGAGTTCATATTGAGAAGCTAACAGTTGCTCAGGTAATTCCTTACATTTTACGGAACCTCAAATTGCTGACCTCGAATTTCCCATCACTGGTCCCTATTCTATGCCAGATGGATCCAGTACATGTTCCGCAATCCAATTTCTTTAAAGTCAATTTAAATATTTTCTCCCAGCTATACATAATCTGTGTCAACGGAATTATGTCTTCCCTTCAGAGTTTTCAAATATAAATATTATATACTTTTCTGATATCTCCATTCATATAAAGTTACCTGTCCATTTCATTCTCCGTGATTTGAACTATATTATCATGCTTGGTGAACAGAATAACGTGAAGCTTCTTATTATGAAATTTTCTCAGGTATTTTAAGCTCTGAACTTGGAAGCGAGTTGTCCCCTTTTGATCTCTCGCTGCTCGTCCCACCGGACATAGGCTCCTAACAATTCCGCAATATTCCATAGGTCGAGGTTGCGTGGGTCCCTCAACTGTTCTGGATCTAACACTGAATTAAATATTCATAAAATGTCTTTAGGAGTTCTGCCTCTGGCCATTCAGTCACTTAAATTACTTGAATTTCGATTGTGCATGTGCCCAATACCGATACATCGATACTGTTTTCTTCTACGTCATAACAGCGCTTACCTCGCCGACAAAGGCGACGATAGCAGAGATGAAACCGACGACGACTACCATGTAGGTGGTGAAGAGGTCGCCATTTCGTAGTTGACGTTCCGTGCTACGCAGATTCAAGGGGCAGATCTCTGTTGGTGGCAGTCCTTGCTTCAGTAAATGTTTTACAATGCCCGCCTCTACCAGCGACTGGAACCTGTCAAAATGCGTGTTTGGTCTTACAGTTTGTAACTGACACTGGCATTCTTGGAGCAGGGAGAGCGTAGTCGGTACAGCGACTAGCTACGGGGTGGACAACCGAGGGATCAGAGTTCGTGTCCCGGTAGAGTCAAGAATTTTCTCTTCTCCACGACGTCCTGACCGGTTCTGGGGCCCACCGAACATCCTATCCAATGGGTACCGAGGGCTCTTTCCCCGGGGGTAAAGTGGCCGGGGCGTGAAGTTGACCACTCACCTCCAGTTAGTGCCGAGGCCAAGAAAATATGGATCTATACATCCACTCCCCCCATGCACCTTCATGGCGTAGTGTTTAATTAATTACGCATAGGGACTCTACCTTTTCTTTACTTGGTAAACTAAGAATTACAAATTATGTAATAAACCAGTAGCCTGCTTCTAATATGTCAGAGATCATGTAATCTTCTTTTTAATGTAAGCTTCATTAACACAGTCATGTTGATTAAATTCTTCCACAAAGCTTAAATTTCCGTTTCTGCTGCAGACAGTCTCATAACTTCGCACAGCGTTCTAAACTTGAGGACGCTTCTGGCGCCTGGAATTCCATCGGATGTGCTGATTAACTTCACCATGAAAAAATTCAAGGAAATTTGCAGCCTCCTGTTGTAGCAGATTTCCTTATTGACATTTGTGATAATATACATAATGATATTGGTTAGATTAAATTTTTCATTACTCTAGTCCAGGCTGTGATTCCTTAACGCTTAATTTCTCATTAATGTGTTTAAAAACGAACTCAGGTACTTGTCCATTTTTGATATTGCTGGTGTTCCGTGTACGCTCTGGGCAAATCAGAGACTTTTAAACATCTGAGGTCAGTCCGTCAGCCATGCGTGTTTCTGCGGGAGATTTAGTCTGCGGATATAATGCTGTTCTTAAGAGAGCGTTATTTCCTTTGACTAAACGTAGAGCCACCCCTGTAACGGGGCCGCCTCTGTAGTCTAGTGGTCAGAGTTCCTGGCTACAGATCCAGAGGTCCCGGGTTCGATTCGAGGGGCTACCACATTTTCTGTGGTGTAGTGGGTCTGTAACGGGGTCCACTCAGCCTCGTGAGAAGTGCCGGCTCTGGTCTAGAAAACCGAGATTAACGGCCGTGAGGATTCGTTGCGCTCACCACGCGACACCATCTATCCTCTAAAATTGGCACCAACTTCGCCGAAAAGAAGAGGTCACTCGGTCGGTATAGTTCGCTTGCGGACTAAAGCTACGCAGTTTATCCCTGTAACAGGCCGTGGAAGCCAATAGGATTGTGGGACGTCGAGGCTCCCACGTTTTCCACACAATCGGCTAATAGAGGGAAGTGAGGTTGTTAGCTTTAGAGGCTGGCCGCCCTTTACCCCCTAGGATGATTTCTGGTATTCATTTCCGTTAGAGTCTGAGTCGACCCCAGGGCCATAGTGAGGCTAGAAGGATTAGATAAAATGAAAAGGAAAAATCAGTAACCTCATCGGGAACCGAATCCACGACCTTCCGGCTTGTAGCATAGTGCCTCAGCCACCCACTCACCGTGTGCCCCTTTCATTTAACTGGTATTACTAAATATGTTAATAACATCTGTAATAATTTTATTTACGTTGTTTAATTTTTAGTACTTGTTGCTTGTTTATTTTCCCTTCTTCCTTCTCCATGCCCGTTCACACCTCCTGTATCAGTGTATCTGCACGTTTTCCAGTGCTTTCCTGTAAGGGGCTCTTAGCTGTATCAAGCATTTTGATAAAGACGTGGAATGAATCTGAACTGAAAACATGGACAAAGTCAATAGAAAGTCCGTCGAGTGTAACAATTTATAAGTTGTGTACACAACACACAGCACATAGGAAACATCTAACCACAAGCCATACAACCTAAAGCTGACATCTCTCATCTTCGGGATGAATTAACAAGGAGGAGCCTAACATTTTACTTCAAATGTTTTAAATTTTAAATATTTTAACATTGGCGTTTTAACTTGAGGGCAGTTTCGGATGAATGTGAGAACTGAACGTGCATTCAACAATCCTGGCAAGTGTTGTGCTTTTACACGTCGACATATTGTAGCAGCGTCCACGCAGCAAACATAACTGTGTGCATCTTAAACAACGACAGTGTTTTCATGCTTGTACTATGTGCCTCTGATGATGGTTTTATTAAACCGAAACATGTAAGGCAGAAGTGATAAAGAAGTGACCTATAAATTGTTACACTCGACGGACTTTCTATTGACTTTGTGATTGATAGTGTAACGGACCAAAAATGAAACAATTCAAAATGAAAACATGGACTTTTCCCTTTATTAGGGAGACGATTTCGACTCAGTAACGGCACATCTGCGTGGTTGTTCACTTACGGTTTCAGCAGCATGTTAAAGAGGGAACAGAATTAACTGTGTAGACTAAAGCTAAATTTATTACACAACTTTAATACCCCGTCATGAGAAACACGTGTTAAGGGGCTAACGGAAACTCGGAAAGCTATTTTTGGCTGTTATCGAATTAGAAGGGTGTTTATAATGTGCAGAGGCTGCGCAATTCACTGGTGGTCATATGCAGAAAGGAACCCGGTTCAGTCACAGTTTACAGTTGCAAAATGGCAGTACATGTAGCCGCGGGCGTGTGCTTCAAATGAACTCTGTCCATGGAATCCAGAGTTCTAAGACTAGTTCATAACATTGTATTTAATTATCCTGCCGCATTGGTTGATAACTTCAACACAATATGCAATGCACAGTCTTTATTGTCTAGACTCTAACGACCAACTAAAAGACCATATGAGAACTGCTCCAGATATCATAAGAAAACAACACCACAACACACAATCGTACAACATTCAGCTTACATCCCGACATGGCATAAATAAGGAATAACGCATATGAACACGCGAGAAATCGTAACATCATATCCACGAAGGAAGAACCAAGCCCAGGATAACCAGTGCACCACCGGAATAGCCATATAAATTTTAAATTTAATTTTAATTTTGAACTTTAACTTAATTAATTTACATTAATTTTAACTAATTGTAATTGAAGGGCTGCGCCATAGCTCAAGCGGTTAGTCGCTGGTTTCTCACCACGGCGGCCCGGGTTCGATCCCGGGTCTGGTCAATTGGGATTTGTGGTGGACAAAGTGGCGCTGGGGCAGGTTTTCTCCGAGTACTTCAGTTCCCCTGCCAATCTTCATTTCACCAATTGCTCCACAATCACCCTGACCTATCATCTGGGGCTGGTACAATAGGCCAGAAGTGGCCGCAGTACAAGGGACTTAGTCCCACCCCACTAACAATAAAAAAATTGTAATTAATATCAGTACAGCTTAAGCTGAAAAGTAGATAACAAAGGCTTTGTTACAAGGCAAATATCACATATCATATGGTCAAATTTGAAAAATATACCGATCCATATGAAACAAGAAGCTCAGCACATAAGCACAAGTGATACACTTGATGATGACCCAATAAGGGTTGAAACATGTCGTGTTAACATTTTAATGTAGAGAGCCTATGTCGGTATTTTTACATAAATTTTTATGTCGACGGATATCAATATACTCATATTTACACAACGCAATATTCAGTGCAGCTCTGCAGGCAAATTATCATTATTAGTCCACGATTTCACGTAAATCCAACGACACGTACAGGCCACACCGAGCCATCACAATGATTTGCGTAAGATGTACTGTGTTATAGTATTATATAGTCCGTGAGGGCGGTACATCCAACCATTTTATTATTTAAACCAATTTAGTACGTGTTAGAACTTAATACATAAAATGTTGTCTTTATTCTTAAAATAATGTATTTCGTGTCGTAACATTCTTCTTTCTTGTATGTCTTGTTTTTCGCAGCGATGTGTAATTTGTTGGACGGTCTTTTCTTCACACGTGTTCCGGTCGCTAATGTGCATGGTATATATAACACTAGTGACACAAGCCCGATAATAGAAATCATGTGCATAAAAAAGCTATAAAGATTTGGGATATGTGTACATTTCGTCATAACAGAATATATCGCCCATTAGATGTTCCCCTTTTGTCAGTTACTGGAGAAAATACAGGGAGTAGGGCGGAACACTGTATCGGCTGTGTATACAGAACACAGGCCTGTGATTCAGGGCATACTTTGTATTCGTAAAGCTCAAAGGTAACGTTATTCTTGTACCTAACTAATTAAGCACCACGCCATGAAGACGTATGGGGGGTGGGTGTACGCCTCCACCATTCTTGACCTCTGCACTGGATGGAGGTAAGTGGATAGCTTTACTCTTTGAGAAAGGGCCCCTGATATTCACTGAACAGGAGGCTGGGTGAGCCCTTGAGACGATCTTGGACGCTGTGGGGTATAGAAAAATTTCCTTTCCTTACCGAGAACCGAATTCCAATCAGTAGACCGTCGCTGTGCTGACTGAGCTATCCTGGCTTCCGGGTATATAGTACTCACACAATATTAAATTATTCTCACGGAATTAATCTGTTAAATGTTCTCCCATTTTAGAAGCATTATTCTCAGGAACTGTCGCAAATTTCCTACTAAACAGAAACTTACAGAGGATCGAAGAACCTCCCGAGGTCGCTGTCCTTTGGGTACGCGAACGCAATGCCGTGAACCATGAAAGATTTGGGCGTCACTACGAAGGTGCATCTCTCATTCTCTGGAACGTTGTCCTCTGTCTTGATCATGTAGTCTCGGAACATCCAGTATTCCACAGAACGCCGTTCCCTGAGTAGAGACAGTTTCTCTGCAGAAGAAATCATTGAATCAATATCGCTGTCACAGTAACATCTTGGAACAAATTTTCAAAAATTTCTGTACAAGAAAATCGTAATATTGCTGCGAGGAATTATGGTAAGACGCTACGCAGGTAGGAAAGTGCGCGCACAGGTTGCTGATACAGCTCATCCTGCCATAGATGGCTCTGACATCAGTAGTCTCTCTGTCATCATCTGATGTCACTTTCATGAAGAATGCATACTTACGGTTACAACAGCTTCTTAGCACCTCATCATATATTTTTTTTTCAATCCTGGATGTTGTGTTAACACCACTAAACATGATTTGATTGTGAATGCTTGGAGTCGCTAGAACGTACATTAGTTCTCGGGCCGCATTCGGCGGTCCGTGGGCCCAGTGACACTGCAGTTTATATATTTTACATAATTAATTCTAACAGCAACAAAGAATACAGTAAACATTCATGATATGTATACAGTTGCCGTCTTGTAGTGCACTCAGTTTCGCCTGTTACTTCACGACCTGTTTCGGCAANCAGATGCCCTAAATACGCTAATCTATTTCATTGCTTGCCTTATAAAATTATTTAAAAAGTTTATAAAAGCAAGAAATGAAATACGAGTAGATTAGCGTAATTAGGGCACCTGATGATGGCACTGTGTTGCCGAAACAGGTCGTGAAGTAACAGGTGAAACTGAGTGAACTACAAGACGACCACTGTAGACATGTCATGGAAGAAAATCAGTGCAACAGGACGCTAAAATACAACAGTAAACTTTGGTCAGCAGTAACCATCCATAGCAGACCTAGGTGAAAAGAGGCGACCTGGTAACACTAAATTAAAATAAACGTTGTAACATTTGGATTCTTAATAAAATGAATCATAACTCAAAACGCATCTCTCGGCTGTATAAATATTGCTATATGAGGTTTCAAATGTTAATTTTCTTATTGTAACTCTTCTCGGTATTTCAGTTAATTAACAAATGGACGGTTGTTCCTTCCAGGTTTCTTAGTACAATGCTTTCTTTAAATATGTTGAAAGTTTGGCGTCAGACGGTAGTATGATTCATGAATACTGAATCTGAACGAATTTGGAAGAAAGCGGTCATAGACTAATCGAGGTACTGCTCAGTATTTGACTGGATGAGCTGAAGAATATCACGAGACACCGCAATGAGAACATTCAGTGCCCTGGCTGATATTCGAACTCAACATCTCCCGAATACAAATCTTGAGCCTAGTTTCTCAGACCTGTGATGAGGGTTGTGAGGGGGGCACAAATAAATGATGATCTAATATTTATGTGTCACTCACTCATGGAGTTGAGCCGTTCTTAAGAAGCCGCCAATTCTGCACCTACTCAAGAACTTTCCAGAATTTTATGGAACCCGAAGGTTCATTACCGTGTTCACAAGAGCCCTCCACTGGTCCCTATCCTAAGTGAAATCAATCCAGTCCATATCATCCCATCCTATCTAACATCCGTTTTAATATTGTCCACCCACCTACGCCTTGATCTTGCCAGTGGTCTATTTCCTTCTGGGTTTCAGACTAATATCTTGTATGCATTCCTCTTCTCCCCATTCGTGCTACATTCCCTGTCCACCTCATCCTCCTTGACGTGATCATTCTAATTATACTTGGAGAAGAGTACAATTTATGAAGTTCCTCATTATGCAGTTTTCTTCAATATTTATGCCTAGAAGCATACAGTGTAAAAATTTATAAAATATTCACAACTGTATTTGTGAGGTAGGAAGGCGACACTCAACTGTTCTTGACCAAGGTGAACATATCGAGGTCCGGCATCTCCAGGAAGCGGCCACGGCCGTCCTTGACGGTTTTATTCAGGTACTCGTAATCCTTGTCGTTCTGCAACGAAAAGAGGCGTGTTACACAAACATCATCATTTTGTTAATCTCATCGGTATCTTTGCGAGACGGGATAGCGACTGGCTACGGGCTGCACGACCAAGAGGTCGGAATTCGAGTTTCGGTAGAATGAAGAATTTTCTCTTCTCCATGTCGTCCAGACCGGCTCTGTGGTCCACCCAACCTTCTATCCAATGGGTATCGGGGGCTCTTTCCCCGGGAGTAAAGCAGCCGGGGCATGAAGCTGACCACTCACCTCCAACTAGTGCCGAGGTCAAGAAAATGTGGATCTATACACTCACTCCTTCATGTCTTCATGGT